TTTTTTTTTTTTTTTTTTCCAATAGGATAGAAAGAAAGAAAAGACAAAGTAAGACTCCAAAATATAAGAAATATATACAAATAGAGCACACTTCAAAACACCCGGCCACTGTCTGTTCACCTGCAAAGAACATGACAAAACACAGCAACAAAATACATATGTATAAAGAACTTAAAATATTCATGGCTTTGCAGTAAGTTTCCATAAATATATATACCCATACCTACGCCTATATACATACATACATACATACACATGAATATACACTCACATACATATCTATATATCTACATATAAAGCCTACATAAGCATCCCTGCTTCTATTTGTGTGTGGTTGTGAGCATGCATAAGTGTTTAAGGCTTCTCTAATAGAACATTTATTAGTAACTGTGAAGCAGCAGAGACCCGACCCCCAAGACCAGAGGCAGACGAAAAAGGGGGGACCAGAGTCCAAGACCCCAGGAGGGACCCCGACCGCGGAGCCCCCAGAGCCACCCACACAGGACGAACCACTCACCCACCCCCCAGAACGGACCACAGGGGAGAACCGGAAGATCCCCACCAGCAACCACATACAGTGACCCCCCGGGGCCAACAGCGACAAACTCATAGGCCCCCGTCGGCACCCGCCGCACCGATGTAGGTCCAGGTCTAGGCACCGAGGCCCGGGCACCGAGGACTCACACCACCCAGGCCAAGGCCTGACAGGGCCAGAGGACCCGAGCCCCACCAGGCAGACACCAGGCCGAGCCGACACACGCCCAAGCGCCCAGCCCCCGATACCAAGGGCCCCAAGCGCGCCGGCAGGCAAGGGCACACCCCACCAGGGGGCCGCGCGATAGGGGCGCGATGCCAAGCACCCCCAGTTGTATCAAAGAGGGGGCAGTCCGAGTCTTGGCCTAACAAATATCCATTCATACACAGACACAATCACACTATCCCAACCTCAATCTCACATTCATTCACTCAAAGACATACAATAACGATACATTTCATTCTTATTCCCGATACACACTCTAAACCCCCCAGGTCCAAGACATGTACCCACCCTCTACAGGGGGCAGCCCATGCCCAAACCCAGGAGGTAAACCCATTCATTCTTGAGCGGAGAAGAGCCAATACCCCAGAACCGGCCCAGGCCATGCCCCGCCGACAGGACACCCCCCCACCATGAAGAGGACACGCCACCAACCACCCCCCACACACCGCCAACAACCAAGCACGCACCCCCAGCCGACCGCCCGCCATTTAGACAGAAGATAAAAAAATGCATAATTACTTTGTAAAATAGACTTTTAACTTGATTTCTAATTTAAATGAGGATTAAAAAATCATTAATACTGTTTTACAGTTGATTTAAAATGAGTGGTTCACTTCAACATTTAGAAATGGTATGAACTAAACACACTTCTGATTTATCAAGATATTGTAAAATAGTAATGACAATATAAAAGAAGAGTGTTCTTTCAATTGATTGCTTCAGGATACAATTAGACAGTCTCTGGATGAGCTAATTTGTATTTCTGGATTCAAATCAATGAAATAACAGTTCCTGTCCCATGAAGGTCGGAGGCCTAGTCCACTACATGTGAATGCAATCAAGGCATTCACACCATTGTTTTTCTGTTTATATTCATTATTATCCTAGTTGCTATCATTATTCTGAACATTTTTTGGAAGCTCTCTACTCCCACAGGTTTAGTGCTATATGAACAGTTCATATATCAAACCGTTCAGTTATTTCAGGACAATATGGCTATGACTTTGATTATTGATGCAACTTTAATTTTTGGAGATATTTAGTCTTTTCTGCCATTTTGGCTCTCATTGAAAATGAATGGAGCTTTTTATAATCAGACCAAGAGTGCCATCTGGCAGTTTTCCAAATACCCTACGTATTTACCTTAG